CTTCTTTCACTTATCTAAGTGTTTTCTGGAGATTAAGGAGAGACAGGCAGACAGATATAGTATAGTAGGAATTATAGGTCTACAATTTTTGAAATTGCAACGTAATTATATATTTAATTGTCATTTTGAATGAAAATAATTCGTTCTTATACAACATTATCCTTATAAGTATTAAATTAAGTGATAGAAGTAAATCCTCTCGAAAACTTTGACCTATCCACTCGGATGTTTTTTCATCATTTCACTGATAACGAGTTCAAATCCAAGCTGTCTAGATCCAATAATTTTTTTTAAGAATAAAGAAAAAGAAAATCCGACGTCTTTGGCGATTTTAGCACTTTTCGATTGTTTATATTTCGGCAATCCCTCTATAGAAAAAGTTGAAATTTTACATAATAATTAAGAAAACAAGTATCTATCGAATAGAATATTCGGACTAACCACAGGTGTTAAGGAAGTGGAGAAATTAAACCTGAAAATCGACAACATTGATTTCTGTATATATACTCAATCATTTTTTGTATATATAGGTCACCGTCATGACTTTGTATATCAGAAGAATCAGCTTTAAACGTAAATACACTACTAACGTGTTAGTGATGTATTTACAAAAACAATTACAGCTTTAAAAGATAAAAAATATTTATTGCGAGGTAATTAAATCAATATTAAAAGAAAATGGTATACCTCGTCTTATTTACGTATTTTCTAAGTTTAGAATGAGAACTGAACGTAAACAGAAATGATTTTTAAACATTTATTTATAATTATTCTCATGTTAACTATATTTTATCATTATAACAAATTAAACATGTATAAAATAATACAAGTTATGTATTATTTTATATGTAATATATGAATTAAATATTTTAGTTATCAGTTCAAACAAAAGGTTACTTCTGTGAAAAAGGTCATCGTTAGAGATGACGAAAAATTAATGATAACGTTTATTTTGTTTANAATTAAACATGTATAAAATAATACAAGTTATGTATTATTTTATATGTAATATATGAATTAAATATTTTAGTTATCAGTTCAAACAAAAGGTTACTCCTGTGAAAAAGGTCATCGTTAGAGATGACGAAAAATTAATGATAACGTTTATTTTGTTTAATTTGGACACGTGTAAAATCTGCTAAGGAGAAAATGCCTCTAAATAGGTTATTTATGTAAAACTGGCTCCCATTTAATTGTTACTAACGTGACCAAAAACCCGGAATATTCCACGTGGCCAGCCTGTTGGCAAGATGTGAACCCACGCCAAACTATAGTAAAAGTTTAGTGATCACGTTCATTTGAATTTATAATACGACTTTAATGATAAGTCAGTGAAAAAGTTGTTATTCATTAAACAATAAAATATAAATCTATTCGAATTTTTTAAAAAAATATAAATTCAATAGCACATACAGAAATTTTTAGAGGGAGGATGTAGAAACGAAAGAATGTCTTACAAAATTTTTTACTACTCGAGATGGATCGTTTTACTCGGGAGAAACACTCAGCTGCCCCGTAAATCCACCCAAAAATTTATATTCATTAATAATTCATAATTTTTTCACTTTAATAAACAACTTTTTTTCATGCTGTTAATAATTAAGCATCATAATCTGTGACTTTGAACTGTACTTTAATCGCCTATTGTATAAACATTATGATTTATTGGCATACATTTTTATTAAATATTTTCCTATCTGTGCTGGAAGTGTATTTGGATATTGCTATTGAAATCGAATTTAAATTAAATTTGTGAAGTAAGTTACGTTTCTTTTATGAATTTAAATATTTTTAAAATTTCTTATTCCCTTACATTTCCCTTATAAATTATAATTTTATTGGAGAAAAAAAATTTTTCCATCGTAGATTACATAATAAATTATATTATTGACCAATACATTACTTCACTGGAATTACGTAATTCAAATTAACCAATAGAATTTTTTATCATAAATTAAGAATTTTAAATTGACCAATGAATTATTTTTAAAGCTGCTTGTGACTTAGNAGACCTATATATTAATTTCAACCATTTTATTTTCATTAGTTTTAATTAAATTTATAAAGTAAGCTTAAAGTTAATTTGTTGATTAAACGCAATACAGAAATAGTAAACTGTTTCAGTTTAAAATAAACTAAAGAACTGTGTTATTTAGTAGAAAAACCCCAAAATTGTATTCGTGAAAGATAGTTTATAAGAGTTAAAGAACTTGTTTACCAGGCGGTTCTGTTCACTAAATACTGGAAATTTGGTCGTGGGTTCGCGCCTCACCTATGATAAGGTTGCCATATGAAGTTTTACGGGTTTACTCAACGTCTGTAATGTATATTTAGATAATATTGTTTTTAAAAACAACTGATCAAATGAGGCTTAATTAAACATTACAGACTTGAACTCTAAACTTATGCTATCAGTTTGTATATAATAAATTATTCTGCTTATCAATATGAACGAAGATGATTAAAATATATTGTAAATTTATATCTCGGAGAAGATTTTCTATGGGAATTGGCCACTATTTAAGTGTGAAACAGATGAAAAAAATCCGATTCAACTACCTGTGTCAAGGCAATCTATATTATAAGAGACACGATACCCACCAGTGGCGGAGTGTCTACAAACTCCTAGTTGGCCGCGGGTTCGCACTGGCCACGTGGAGTTATTCCAGTTTTCTTTACGTTAGTAACACCTAAATAAAAGCATTCCTTTTTCAGCAGATTTCCCATGTTTGTTTGCTTTATACGAGTAAAACCTAACTATAAGAAACGACCTTAGTTTTTAAATCTATTTATTTCAAAATGGCGCATAATCGCCGCTAGTGAAGCTATCCTGTCATGTTTACAAAGGTCAAATTACTTTCTAGTGTCAGTTTAAATTTATAAGAATTGTTTAAACTAATTAAATATATTGCTCCCCTTTGCACAAGTTAGTAAATATTCGAAAATAAAGTTAATTTTTTTCTAACTTTTATCAAAATAGTTACGCGTTTTTAGACTATTTTTAATATCTATATCTATATTCTATATATATATATAAAATGGACGTGTGTGTCCCTATATTTCACTTTTTCGCCAAAACTACACATCGCACGTGAATGGTGTTTGTATGTCGTGGTAGCCCCAAGTCTCCATTCGTGCATAGGGGTGGTTGCGTCTCGACAGCTATAAGGGTGCGGGAGATATGAGGCTGAAAGTGGTTGAAAGTGCCTTTCTATTTCAAATGTTTTGTTCGAATTAAATTCGAACATAAAATTCGAATATTGGTTCGATTATAGAACGATTGTAAACGTTCCAGAAACGTTGAAAATAGTTTGTTTGACTAAACGTAAAAATCCTCTTATTAGTCTGGAAACGGGGGACCTAATTCTTGCATTCTGTGAAAACGGGTAAGATTAGCTATAATGTAATTATCTTAATTTTCACTATCGTTACTTTTTGCCCAGCGATCGGGTCCTTGCAGCTAGATTCTAGATTACTTAGAAAAACAGTCTTTTATATATAAAAATCAAAAACTATATTACATACAAATGTACGAACAAATAAAATCCCAGCGAAGCGGGTCCTTGCAGCTAGTTTTATATAAATTCAAATCCATTTTTGTTATAAATTTAATTTTAAAAAACTACTCAAGTTAAAATTAAGCTGGTGTATAGTAGTTCACTCTGTGAATATCCCCCATTTTGATGTCAATCGATTAAATAAATTAACAATAGGTGAGTAATATATGTCATGTATGGTGTACTACACCTATAGAAAATTTTGAGTCACCAATCATATTTTCTGGTATTTCTCTTGTGTCATTATTATAAATTACTGTAGTACTTTGTTACAGAGATCATTTGATAAGAAATATACGTTCCATATGCAAACCCAAATCAAATAAATGACAATTAATTGTACTTAGGACAAAAATATCAAACTTCTTATGGAAAAAGTTTTAAATGATACAAAGTTGTGGAAATGAGTAGGAAATCGCCAACAAAAAATCAATACTTAATAATTTGTATCAACTCCTTTTGCTATAATCACTGCCAGCATTTTCTTAAACATTTACTCCAAAAGGTGTTTAGTTTTCGGCAGTGATGTTTCTCCAGGTACTTTTATTAACAACGTTCTTCAGCACATCCTTGTTTGCTAGACTCTTAGTGTTAACAAAAACGCTTCAATAAACGTCATACATTTTCGATGATATAATTTTAAATATATACTGTTTGTTGGTCAATTTATCCTTTTCAAAATTTTTTGTGTGAGAAATTTCTCAACGGACGTAATTGAGTCGCGGCGTGTTTACACATTGAAAAATAAACACACCATCTCCTAACTGGTATTCAATTTTTGGGCTAAAGAATTCTTTCATCATCTCCATATAGATTTTTGCATTTACAGTGACATTAACAATGCAAAGTTTTCTAGTTTCTCGTGCTGAGAAATATGCTTATATAATGACGGACTGAGATAATTTGACTTTGAATTTTAGATACTTGTCTTGACATTCTTTACCTTTTCGTCACTACCATAGTTGATGTTGATATTTGATTCATCGCGAAAGATAACATGACTATTTTTCTACAGTCCAATTTTTTTTATTCATTAAACCAAAACGGGCTTTTCTGTCTGTGAACTTCGGCTAACCTCGCCTTGCTCTTGAATTTTTAGTGGAATAACCCATGAAGTGGATACGATTTCTTTCTGTTCTGTCGAAATTCGTGTTCTGCTGATCATCGACCAAGTCTTCGAGCATTCAGTTACTTCAAGTTTGCTTGCAATATACTGTTTCGTCTTGTACGTAACGTCGAGTCTTCGGATCCAGAGGTAATCGTGGACTCCCACTTCTGTATTAAAGTTTTTACAGTTTCTCTTGTAAACAAATACCATATCTTACAGCGTACTGTGAACGTCCATCGTGAGGGCAATAAAACGGCGAGAACATTTTTCAGCAACGCACTGATATGAGCAATTTCAAGTGTCAATATCAGGATCCACTGTTGGCAGTTAAGACACATAAAACATCTCTTGGTGTTTAAGCAGTTTGATATTAGATACACAATACCTAATTTGCATGGGCTTGTTTATTTAAACTGGTAAGCAAAAGATTCCGTAATAGTTTCCATAAAGATTCTTCTCTCGCATTTCGTTTCCGTTTAGAAGTTGTATATTATAACACTGGTTTGTTTTCACTTGATTTCTGTAACAAAGCATACAGGAATTTGCAGTGATGCTATAAGACATGAGTGTCGATTCAGTTTTTTTCCAGCGGTAGTAATATATACTACCTTTCCAGCCGATAATTTGTATAATATTGTATTTGAAATTTCGAGAAACTTCAAAACAATTAACAAAAAATAACGAAATCCAGATACTTATACATAAATATATAATGAGATAGTGAATTTATAGAAAAATTAATGATAAATAATAAACTTAAGATAGAGAATGATTACGTAAAATATTATTAATGTTTATAATCATACCTTTTATTTGAATAAGCTTTTCAAACACTGTATTAAGAATATATTTTATTCAAATTATTCAATTATATTACATTTACTAACAATGTCTACTTTTCTATCAAAATGTCAATAAACTTTGAAGTAAGTTTTTATTTATAAGTATTAATTAGCACAAACATAAATAATGTTTTATAAAAATTCACTATTTTCAAATACTACATAAAGTATTTGAGAATAAAATAATTTTTATTGGTTAATTTATAAAATTTTCTATATTTTTCATTGGTTAATTTATAAAATTTTCTATATTTTTCAGAATATGAAGGATACAAAGAAGAAAAAAGATTACATAAAAAGTTTTATAACACAGTCTTTTAAAAACTTAGGAAAACAAATTGCAAGACATCCATTGTATTTTATAATAGTACCTTTGCTGTTTTCACTTTCCTTTGGCTTTGGAATATTTAAATTGAAGTTAAATGATAATATCGAAAATCTTCTTGAACCAGATAGTGGTAAAACTGTAGACACGAAGATATTTATCGAAAAAACTTTTCCTTTCAATTCTTCTGAAAATTTTGATATTGTAAGATGTCTTAGTGTTCCTAAAGGCCTAATGATTTATCTCTTACCAAATAATTTGAATGAAAACATGATGAATAAAGACATACTTAAGGAGATAAAGGTATTGGATGAAATCGTTAAAAATATTAATATTTCCATTAACAATGATCAGATTGGATATCACAATATATGTGGAATTATTCATAAAAAGTGTTTCGAAAATCCAATTTCATACTTGATATCGAACATGGATATTGTATTGGCTAAACGTAAAAGAATCGAATTTCCTGTAGAGATAGATATGCTGACTTTATCGTATCATATGTATTCATTAAATTTAGGTGGAGTTGAAACAAATAGTAAAGGATATGTTGAAAAAGTAAAAGCTATGAGATTAATATACCCATTTGATGTTAGTACGAAATGGAAAAAAGAATGGTTTGAACAGTGGACCAAAGCAGCTTTTAGAAATATAGTAAATCACGAATTTCAATATATAAATCCTTTGTTTGATCCCTTGTGGATGGCAATAAGACACTCAAAAATAACGTTTTATGATATAAAATCAAGAATAGTTGCAGTCGTTATTTTTATATCTCTATTTTCTATCATCAGTTGTTTGAGTGTCCCGATGATTAGAAGTAAACCATGGCTCGGTCTTGCAAGTGTTGTATCGGCTGGTTTGGCAATACTAACTTCATTTGGATTAATGGGAATATTTCAGATAGAAAGCACGTATTGGAATATTTGCATTCCATATTTAGTTATCGGTGAGTATTTTAACGATAGATTTTAATTTATTCATTCACAGGGTGCAGTAATTATATTTAAAATGGTTTATATCGTTAGTCACAGAGATAGACGATGCTTATGTGTTGATAGCGTGTTGGAGGATTACTGATCCAAAAAGTAATGTGGAAGATCGACTTGCTTATACTTTCAGCGAAGCCGGAGTTTCCATCACACTGACTTCTTTGACGAACTTTCTTGCATATTGTATTGGAATGACAATGTTGTTTCCTGTTGTAAAATTATTTTGCTATTATTCTGCAGCTTGCATATTCTTCGCTTATATTTTTCAAATAACATTTTTCGGTGGTTGCATGGCATTAAGTGGATACAGAGAAGAGAAGAGACTTCATCCATTTACTTTTCGATTATCCGGTAAGCAATAAGTTATTTTCAAAATTAAATAGTTGTATTTAAATATATATTTTACTTTATTTACTGAATAACGAAACGTGACATGAAAAATTATTAGCTTTATCACGGAAAATGCAAGATTAAATTTCTGGAAATTAATTAAAGAAATGATAAAAACAGTGACAATGTTTCCAGTTTAACCAAGCATTGAAATCCGTGTCACTATTCCAAAACATCTAAAATCCGGTGGAATGCATAATGGTGCAGTGTTTTGCCGAAGAGTTTCTGAATCATATAGCCACAATTACCGCCGATGGAAATTGAGAACCGTAACAACTATGTAACCCATATAATTATTTTGCCTGTGATGATTTCCAATGGTTTTGCACTTGAAGATAATTCTCAGGAGACAACTACTCGAGATCAATGAAATCTTGCAAAATTCTTTCCAATTCAACGATATTAATTAATTAATTTTCACGCATATTCTTCTTAATTGAGAAATATACCTTCAAACGTTAATGTTACTTATGAAAATTGTTTCATTAGTAACTTTGACTAATAAAAGAGAAACTTGTTACTCTCTTTCTCTCATTATTTTGAAAATTAAAGTCAAGGCAGTGATTTTATAATGCAATGAATCAAATAAATACAAGTAATTGATGTGCCGCGAAGGAAAGGAATACAATATAACAGATGAAAAATAGTGCATAATTTTAAAAATTTAATTACAAAAAAATATTATAAAATTAAATACATATCCAGGTTTCACACGTCTTAAATAATTAACCTGTAAACTTTCATCTGTACATACATTTTCATCAACCAGATCAAAAGAATAAAAATGTGTCCAATAATTAAGTTTAAGATAACGATACCGTATGCGTATCATTATCTTAAACTCGAATCAATAGACTTCTCAAAATAGAAATTTCAACACCGAGAAGGAATACCCATAGCCACAAGAAAATTTCAGGACCAGTAGCGGTGACGGAGATACACAAATAGTTAAGTTTATGTATGCATCGAGTTATACTCAGTTTTGGACTATAAAAACCAGTAGCTGACTCTGGCCATAAATGTTATCAGCGATGATTTGTGGCAGCGAAACTTTTAAAGCATAGAAAATGCCTCAAAGATGAGAGTGAGCTAAATACCACTAATTAACTGCTGTGGGACGAGACAGGCAACCATTAATTGCCTTATTGTTAGTATGCCTTGCCATATAGCGGCCTGTATATCTCCCTTTAAAGGCAGAATTTGTTAATTAATAAACAGGTGTATTTTATTATTGCATATGTCTCTCACTTCTACCGGTCGTGCAATGTGCATGTTACCACGCCCATTTCTTCGTGGTGTTGCGATTTTACTTTTGAGAAGTTTATATTATTAAATTATATTTGAAAATTGAATATTGTTTGAGGATTAAATGTGTAATTAATTCTGTTAGTTTTCCATTAAAACATAACCTACATAAAACAGTGTGAATAAAAAATAAAATATGAGAAAGTGTTCATACTTGTACAGACAGATCATGANAAAATAATTCGTTCTTATTCAACATTATCCTTATAAGTATTAAATTAAGTGATAGAAGTAAATCCTCTCGTGAACTTTGACCTATCCACTCGGATTTTTTTGGAGGTTTAAGGCCCTTTACCGCTCGGAGAGCACAAAAAGGCCAAGAATGTTATGTTGAGAAGGGTGGTCTGGGGTTAGTCTCTATAAATGGGCTAATAGAAGTCCCATTTAGGGCTCATAAAGTCTAGTCCCTTGTGAGGGCTCATAAAGTTATGTGTTATTGCTATGTTTAAATTTTATTCTGGTTGTTATGTTTTATGTTCTGCTTTTTTTACTTACCTAATATTTTTATGACCAAGGAGAATGGAAAGTTTGATAGGAAAGTTTTAGTATGAACCCAGCCCCACCTAACCTAACGTTTTTGGATGATTCAGGGTGGTTGAAATAAGGAGTTTTGTCATCATTTCACTAATAACGAGTTCAACTCTAAGCTGTCTAGTTCCAACAATTTTTTCTTTAAGAATAAAGAAAAAGAAAATCCAACGCCTTTGGCGATTTTAGCACTTTTCGATTGTTTATATTTCGACAATCCCTTTATAGAAAAAGCTGAAATTTTACATAATAATTAAGAAAACAAGTATCTATCGAAAAGAATATTCGGACTAATCACAGGTGTTAAGGAAGTGGAAAAATTAAACCTGAAAATCGACAACTTTGATTTCTGTATATAGGCCTATACTCAGTCATTTTTTGTATATATAGGTCACCGTCATGACTTTGTATATCAGAAGAATCAGCTTTAAACGTAAATACACTACTAACGTAATCACAAATACAATTACAGCTCTAATAGATAAATATTAAAAGAAAATAATATATCTCGTCTTATTTATTTTCTAAGTTTAGAATAAGAACTGAACTTAAACAGAAATAATTTTTAAATATTATTTTATAATTATTCTCATGTAAACTATATTTTATCGTTAGAACAAATTAAACATGTATAAAATAATACAAGTTATGTATTATTTTATATGTAATATATGAATTAAATATTTTAGTTATCAGTTCAAACAAAAGGTTACTTCTGTGAAAAAGGTCATCGTTAGAGATGACGAAAAATTAATGATAACGTTTATTTTGTTTAATTTGGACACGTGTAAAATCTGCTAAGGAGAAAATGCCTCTAAATAGGTTATTTATGTAAAACTGGCTCCCATTTAATTGTTACTAACGTGACCAAAAACCCGGAATATTCCACATGGCCATCCTGTTGGCAAGATGTGAACCCACGCCAAACTATAGTAAAAGTTTAGTGATCACGTTCATTTGAATTTATAATACGACTTTAATGATAAGTCAGTGAAAAAGTTGTTATTCATTAAACAATCTAAATATATAAAATTGCTTGTCCTGACTGACTCATTCATTCATTCACTGATTCATCATCGCCCAGAGCAAACCGCTTAACCTAAAGAGGTGAAATTTGGTACACAGTTAGGGTACGTCATGGAAACGCACACTAAGAAAGGATTTTTCGAAATTCCAACGCGGGGGGGAGAGGGAGAGGATTAAGTCTTAACCGGAAAAACGGCTTCTACTCTACTATTTTAGATGCGATTTTTTGTTTTTATCTGCGTTTTAGTAGGGAATGCCATGGCAATGCACAATAAGAAGGGATTTTTCGAAATTCCAACGCGGGGGGGTGAGGGAGAGCATTAAGGCTTAACCGGAAGAACGGCTTCTACTGCGCTATTTTAGATGC